GCATGTTACTTGAGTCAAGGGAGAAAAGCAGATTAACATTGAAATCTGTATTGCATTTTGGGAAATGCCAAGCAAGGAAAGAGATGTTACCAGAACCGCGGAGTGAGTATTTTGTTTACTGCAGTTCACCATTTTGTCTAGCAAATCATGTGAGAAGGGGTGAATATAAATGCCCCTATTTGTGTAGGTAATTTTTCTCTTTCCTGTCTCTGATTCATCTCTCTGCCTTGCTTTATAGAGAGTCATGCTACACCATTTTGTCTAGCAAATCATGTGAGAAGGGGTGAATATAAATGCCCCTATTTGTGTAGGCAATTTTTCTCTTTCCTGTCTCTGATTCATCTCTCTGCCTTGCTTTATAGAGAGTCATGCTACATTGGTTACAATTAATTTCAGTGCTGCATATTAGCCATAAAGAGTTATTTCATAAATTGACTGATGTCTTTTTTTTCCTCTGTGGTTTTCTTGGAAGATGAGAATGGTCCAGAGGAAAAGCAAAGTGTGAAAGAAATGGGAGGGCAGAGCCGAGAAGCAGGTGGGCTTAGATTTCTTTTGAGGAGTCTCCTAGGCTTCATCCACGGAGGTGAACAATAACTTTACTCAGTGCTTTTGTCTGAAAATGCTTATACCTTTTCACCAGACTAACCCCAGTGTTCATTCAGGTCTCCCTCAGGAGGCCATTGGCTGTTAACTATGAGTTAACTGTGCTTCTAAGCACAATGTACGTTCTCCCATCTCCTTTCCCCATTCCAGTTTTCTTCTCTGTGATAGCAGTTTGTTTGGTGATGCTCTAAGAGGTCTGGTCTCAAAGCTTGGCTGACTCAGATCTGGCCAAAATTAGCAGATTTAGTTTAGTGGTTAAAAATAAAATTAACACTATTGACAGGGAATAAAGAAGAAGCTTTTTTCCACAATGAGTGGAGTGTTCTTTACTGTTTTGCATTAAATTTTGGAGAGCCATGCTTCTATGTTTCTCTGCATGTTGTAGGAGACGGTGCCATAGGCCTGACTACCCCACACACAGAACTATCAGTGAGACCCAAAACCTTCCTGACATCGACTCTGTCCACTAAAGGACAGATGTGTCCATTGAATGTTTATAGACTCTACACTCTAGATAATAAATTGTACATTTCAAAATTAAATAGAACTTAAGGTTAAAGAGAAATTGAAATAACCTCTGATTTACCATCCCTTCCTACCTATTTTTGTACCCAGGCATGCTCTCCTTTAAAAGAATAATAGTCACAATCATGCAGCTACCAACATAACCACCAAAATAAAAACATCCTTCTTCCCTTCAGTTTCCAAGTCACTCTCCCAGCTCTAATGGGCCCCATGGAGGGGCGTTTTTGAAATAGTGGGTTCTGTGGAATGTGCCCAGTCACATCCTGGGCCATATGCTCAACTCTTGGAATTGAATCAGGTAGTGTGATAAGTTTTTCACTGAAAACTTCTTACATTAACCTTGGAGCTATTGCTAGGGAACTGGAAGCTTTTATTATGAACCTGGAAGATGGAATTGATGAAGGCCAATCAGAGAAAGCACTGAAGCAAGGCAGCGAGGACCTCGTGCACCTGTTACCCGGTCAGCTGCTCCCTCTGCTGCCATGGAGGCCTCGCAATGAAATGAATTTCTGATGCAGCACACTGTTGTTACCCACCCCCGCCCCACCCCACACACCATTGTGCTTCATGGAAGATGAGTCCTATGTGAAAAGCTGTCACTGCTTTTACCATTTGGGGCTGACACGTATTAGTCAATGAACTGCTGACAGCTGAGGCCATTCTCTGCTTGTTGAGGTTTCATGGATGGTATTCACTCGCTGCTCTGTCTCAAACAACATAGATTGCTGCTATGTCTTTAACAACATAGATTGTTCCCCACCCCTGTACGTGCACACACATGTATACATGCACATGCACACACGTTTGCCTGTGTCTTATTTATTCATCCTTTTCCTCTCAATCAGTTAACAACAGGTAGTTTCTTTCTGGTTTTGGGATCACGTTGCCTGGGAGAAGAGCATCCGATAGTGTTATCAGCACAACGGGGTGCCTCTTCATGTAAAGGAGAGGCCACATGCCTCCCCGGGTGGCCCCTCTTGCTCCTGGCTGGCTGGCAGAGTCCAGTGCAAGGATCGACTGGGACCCTGGCCGGCCTCCACGTGCACTACTACACTCGCTCTGCTCACTTCCCAGCTGCCCCGCTCCGAGTGCAGAGAAATCAAGATGTGGTCCAGTCATTAAAGCCTGTTAACCTGCTGTTATTTTCCAAAATAAAAATATCTCCTTTTCTTCCAATATCATTTCTGGCTTTACTTTTGATTATATAATTCTGCAGGCCTCTTCCACATCATGAAAAATTACAAAACAGCATAATGCAGCCGTTTTGACTGTTGTCAGAATCGAATCAAATCAAAGTTGTAGATAATATTCTTCAAAAAGTCATTTAATAATAATTACATATTACAGGTTTGCTGTGTCCCAAGCACACTGTTCCAGGCCCTGGGAATATAGCAACAATCAATGAAGACATCCCTGCTTCTTTGAAGCTTATATTTTAGTGGGGGGATCCAAACAATAAACAAAAAAGGATAAAAACATCCATAGTGATACGTGCCTTGCTGAGAAATAAGGTAATGTAGAAGGAATGCCCAGAAGGCAACTTTCCATTAGCTGAGTTTGGAGAGAATTCTCTGAGGAAGCGACAGTTCAAATGAGATCTGAATGATGAGATGGCAAAAGAGCATTCTAGATGGAGGGAACAGACCACGCAAATGCCCCATGTCCAGTCTGGGCGTAGCACATTGGAAAGGAAGCCTGGGGTGACTGGAGCAGGATGGGCTAGTGGAGCATGGTGTGAGATTTGGTAAGAGATCATAGGGCCAGATCATGTCTTACTGTTTAAGATTGTATTTTATTTGAATTGCAAAGAGAAGTTAATGGAAGGTTTTAAGTAGTGGAGAAACATGATTTATGTTTTAACAAGCTCACTCTGCCTGTGAGTGAAAATGGGTCAGAAGAGCCAAAGTGAGCCAGTTAGAACGCTACTGCAGGAAAGCACTGATGGCAGTTTCTGGAAATGGAGACAAAAGGACTGACCTGTGTCACATTCCAGAGATACAGACAACAGGACATGCTGATGGATCAAGTGAGGCATATGGGGAAAGGAGAATCCAGGGTAAGTCCTAGGTTTTTAGCTTCAGTAATTATGTGGATGATGGTGCCACTTACTGACGATGTACAGGTGACTGGACAAAAGGACTGACCTGTGTCACATTCCAGAGATACAGACAACAGGACATGCTGATGGATCGAGTGAGGCATATGGGGGAAAGGAGAATCCAGTGTAAGTCCTAGGTTTTTAGCTTCAGTAATTATGTGGATGATGGTGCCACGTACTGACGATGTGCAGGTGACTGGTCACACCACACAGATTTTGTTGAGAAACAAAATAGTTCAGCTTTGGCCATAGTAAATTTGAGAGAACTCTTAGACAGCCATGTGGGATGTCCTGAAGACAATTAGATATACAAGTTAGATTTCCAGGGAGAGGTATGGACTGCAGATATAGGTTTGAGAGTCACTGGGATATAAGTGATATTTAAAACCATGGGACTGGATGAGATTCACTAGGGAGAACATGTAAATAACAAAGACAATGGGGCCTGGGTTGCCATGACATATAGATCTGTGGGCAGCTGGAACAAGAAAATGCTCCAGGAAGATTGGGGTAAAGACTGTAAAATGCTACTGAGAAGATAAGAAAAGAGAAGTGACCATGGGATTTGCAAAGGGAGGTCATTGGCACCTTTGATAGGAGCGTTTGCAGAGGAGTATTGGAGGAGCAGCCAGTTGGAGTGGGTTATGGGGAGCCTGTGAAGTGAAGAGTGGACTTTTGGACAGTTTTGCTATGAAGGGAAGTAGAGAAATGGGAAGATATTGTGACATCAAGGGAAGGTTAATAGTTTGTTCTTTTTTAAAATAGGAGATTATCACCTAACAAAAACATCAAGAAAAGTGATTCATCATCTCCAATTATTCCACTACTAAAAATTTTATTCTCTGTTCCAGTAGAGAAATGACCTAAAAGTAACAGTTATATACATTATGGACCAAAGATTGCTGGAAAATGTGTGATTTGCCTCTAAATGTGTGTTAGCTATCATGCATATATAAGTTATCTTTAGTTCCACGACCCTGATGCTGCATGAAAAAAAAAAAAATCTTCTTTCAACTGTCAGGTATTAACAGTTCCAAATGATTTTAATAATCTTTCATTTCTTACATTTGCTGGTTTCATACTCACATTAGTAGTCTAATTATCTGTTATCCTGGAGGCCACACATTAGTAGAGTCATCGTGGTACTGATGATACTGAGAAGAGAGGTCAACTATGATAAGGTTAATTGATGCTGTAAGGGGTACAAGGACCGCCAAGTTCGTAGTCCCCATTCTGTTCTGGAGTAACACAAAATCTCCAAATGGTTTCTGGTGCCCTCCTCTGAATGGTCCTCTTCTCCCCAGCCTCCACGTTGACAGCTATCAGAGCTACTCCCTGCAGTCTGACAGCCTGGCATAATGGAGCAGAAGTGCTGTGCTAAGAAAAACCAAACTTTAAAAACACACATGAAAGCACTTTGTAGAAACTTGCAAGGGTATAGTTTCTTTCACAATCTGTTACCAAGAAAAATAACACACTATTTTTTGAGAGATGTGGAAGAAGCAAAATGCCAAAGGCTACTAACACCAACAGGTAGTATTCTTCACCCCAAATAGTTTGTGCTCCATGGGTCTCTGTCTTAGCCGAAGGTTTCTGTTTTGTTAATTATAAAAGAGAGTCACACACCCCTGGACCCCTCATAGACCATTTGGTGTATTACAGTGTGAAACCCGTTCACGCTTTCTTTGGAGGAGAGGGGACGGAGGTGCGGGGCAGGCAAGCAACATCTGGACAGCATTGACTCTGAGGCAGTGTTTCTTTTTCTGTTTCATAGATGGTGTCAACACTGCCACTGTGCCCAGCCCTGCTTCAGAACAGGCGGCTGAAGTCTGTAAAGATGAAGGTATGAGACCACTTACTGTAAAATGACTAAGAATTGCAGACTCTGAAAAGAAGACTATTTGAGTCTTGTTTATATGGAAAAATGAAGCAGTGAGCAAACCTAACTAATTCTTTATAAGCTTCTCTGTTTCCAGCACAATCAAATATCTCACCCACTCTGTTTTATTCCATATCTGGCCCTTCCAGAATTTGCATATATGTTTACATTTTTTCCTCTGAAAAATAACTTTATGAAATAAGAGAATGATCAGAGCAATTGTGTTTGGTGAAGATGTTTATTTGAAACACCAGAATTAGTCAGTTCTGCTGTTCACAGCTACTCATCAGGAATAATTTTGAAAGGGTGGCAATTGAGGACCACCTACTAGAGAGCTCCATCATCCAAGACAGGAAGGTTTTGAAAGGCATCCTTAGAAATAAATCTCTGGCAGAAGCATCATCCTCCATTGTGTGAACAGTTACTATGAGAAAATGTTGCTGACTCAAGTAGCTCCAGAAGAAGGAAAAATTTAAAGAAAATATTTCTTTTCTGGGAGAAAATTTGAGCGAGAAGTAGTGGAGATATTGATGTAGGGATGCTAGAGCTTAAAAATTTTATCTAAAGTATAATTCTCTTCCTCCTGATTAACTGGCAAGTCCCCACCAAAAAAGGTAGCATTATTTTATGTCTGTCACTGGTAACTACTAAAACCTGTGAATGACAGACTAGACTGTTGCACTTGTATAAATGGACATCTGGTAAACCGTGTGACCTGCTTGGAACTTTAATATAAATATGTTGAATGCATTTCTTCAGTTTGGAGTGATATGCAAATCGGCCTATATTTGACACTGATACTTGCTACTCTTTGAAACAGTGTTTAGAAAATAGAAGTGGTCAGGAAACTTTAATACTCAGCTATTTGCACGATTAATTCCATTTTATTTTGCCTGGTGATTTTTTTGTTGTTGTTGTTTTTCTCTAAATGCAGTGTCCTGTAAAGTGTAGCGCAGGTAGTCGCTAAGAGTGTGAACACTGGGGCCAGATGGTTGGGGCTTAAATCCTGATTTTGCCACTCACAATTTAGATGACCTTTGACAAATAATTCGAGTAATTAACAAGGAATTAACAAGTTATGGCAAGTAATGAACCTCTTTCTTTGGAGACAATAGTGCATCTACTTCATAGAATACAATCATAGGCATCGATTGCATAGGCTGTTCATCTGGCACATGTGCAGACTGGGCTTCCCCAAAGATAGACTGAGATAGAAATTAGGAAGCAGAGTTTATTGATCCTGGGACCAATTTCTGTAATAAAAAAAGAAAAGAAGCACAACTGTGAAGAGGGAGAAGCTGAGCTGCAGGGCATTCTCAGAAGATGTCTCGGCTGACTGTGTGGGAAGCCTGATGACAGTGTGACCCTTCTGTGCTGTCCACAGTTGGAGTGAGAGAGACAGGCCATTAAAACCTCTCATTGATAAGTCACTTGCCCTGGGAAGTAGGTGTGTCCTTGGGTGTGACAACTCTCTTCCTTTGAGGTAATCCTGCAAGCCAGAGATGGATGAGGTCTCCCTGAACCTGGGAGAATAAATTTTTCAGTCCTGAAGGGGGATCTGGTTGGCCTGACACAGCATCACCTGTACTGTTGTCATTTTTAGTGGTCCTTTTCTTGTTTATTGCCATTTTTCAAATGAATCCCTTGGCACCTCCCTTTATACCACTCAGGTATGTGTTCTGACATCCCTGGTTTCAAAACGATTTGGTGTTTCTAAAAATGTCAAATATCCACATAGGTTCTCATAAGAAGCCCCAAGTCATCTTAGAGAAATAAATCTGATCAAGTCAGAGTGAAAAGACAGAAAATGTGTTCATCTTAAGCTAACATTTTGGACATTCCCAACATTTAGCTTGTGATAAAAATTTTAAAGTGTCATAAAGCTAGATGGCAGAGTTTAAGAAACAAGAAAGAGAGAAAATCTAATTTGAATGTTTCAAACTGAGATTTTCCCTGATGAGTTGTTTAGTTTGGAGATATCGCACCTTTACAGAAACACACTGTTTGTGATGTTTCTTGATGCTTTTAGGATATCACACTATTAATTGCTCATGCCAGAATCAAATTTTTGGAACACTTTTAAGATTTTTTTTTTTACATAAAATTTTAATGGTGGTAACTCCATCAAGAAGTTCTGTCATGTGTCACAAATGCAATTCCTGCATCAGACTAAATGTGAAGTTTTATGGATCTTAGTGAAATAAATCATTAATATCCATTAACCTATTTATTTGGAGGAAATTAAAGTGTTTTAAAATTCACATTAGTATGTAATCCTGCTTCAATTAAAAATAGAACATATAGGACATAATTTTTGCCTTTTTCTTCCAAAATAGCATGTTCAGAAGACTACGGTTTTTAATTGATTATAACTTCAAAGCTTAGACCAAGTGTCTAATGCTTATGGAACTGCCATCTTGACTGATAATAACTGAGGGGAAAAAAATGAGTTTTCCATTGAAATCCTCCAAGATTGAGGTCAAGTTGGGGTTAAAAAGCAGTCATATGTGTTGCAGATTCATTTCAAAGATTCTTTATTATTACCTTTCATGCAGAAATATCTCCCCTCAGTAATATCAAGGGCTATTTTAGAGCTCTGCAGTTAATAAGATCGCTTATAGAAATGCTTATTATGCTCTCCAGATTAAGTGGCAGAATATTTTTGCTGATCAAATGTCCTGGAGGAGCCCTTGCTCTCTGGACTGGCCTGATCCTGACTCACCATCTTCTTGGGCTTTGGAATCACCGATATCGTGGACTGGCCTTTTTCTCTCTTTCCCATGTAACGCCCAGGGATTTTGAGACTCATTCAGTTCTTCCCAGCTTTGCTTGTTGTTGGGCTGGCTTTACATTTGTTATAACTTTGGTTTCCACGGGAAACTAGTGTCTTTCAGGGTGCAAGGATCGAAAACAAGCAAATAAAAGAATGAGACAGCTAATGTCACTTTGTTTGGGAGATAAGATTTTTTAAAAATTCAAACAGTATGTGAAAGTCGAAGAACTTCAAGAGGCGGTGTTATTATCCAGGGTGTCTTCTAGCCAGTGACTCTGTTCAAATGTTGTAGACATATTTCCCACTGGAAACCAAGAACAGGTGTGTAGACTGTGATCTACACACTAACGACACCTGTTCCCAGTGAGTCATTACAGCCATCGGGTGGGAAGGAGTGGAGCTGAGAGGATGACAGGACGAGGAGGAACGCTGATGAGTAATTCATCCACATGGGCTGCATACCAAGGACGTGGTAACTAGGACTGAGTTGAAATTAACTCCTAGGTAAGGCTGGCCTGGAAAAATATTTGTGGGTTGATAGGAGTGAGGTTATTTGTAAAATAGGGCATGTACTTATATATTGAGAGATTCTTCCTCTACTGGTAAAATACTCTTAGTTTAATGGTAGTTTGCAGTTTAAATCCTTAAAAGCAAATCCAGGAGTACAAATGTTGAAGCTATTTAAGTTAACAGATATACAAGCAATCCGATGAAGGGAACTTATAAATACACGAGTAAAATTCACAGGAATATCAAGCACACTGGTCGAAACTTCTGCAAAGTTATTGTTACTGTTTGAGACATAGTCCATCTCCTTACGTCCAGGATAATTCTCTGTTGTGGCTGTGTCAACACTTTAAAGCAGCGGCTCATCCTTACCCACAGCCAAGGCCAAGGCAACTTACCAGAAAGAAAAAAAGTGCTGTTTAAACATACGCTGTTCACGTGCCTTATTATTTAATCAGTACCTAATTTGAATTTGAAGGTCAACTAGATCAAATCATATGCTCATTAGTATTAAAAGCAAAATTAATTAATACTCAGATGCACATCCGAGCTTGTATTCCTTTGGAACTCCGTATAAGTCATGTCTCTGCTCTTTGGTATTTATGAAGTAAGATGTCACCGGCAAAGGATTTCTTAACCCTTAATCTAGTTTCAGATCTAGACGTCAAAACTACAGTAGGAAAAGGGGAAGCTAGAGCAAGAGTCAGCTTGCCAAAGAGAGCGAAAGAGGAAGGACAGGGTCACGTCCAAGGAAGCGGATTCGGCAGTGGGCAGATGAGCGTGAAGGATTCCAACCACTGCTCACTGGAAGCCTGGGCCAGCGCCTGTGCTCAGAATTGCTCTGAGCATTGTTTCTATCCTTGGCCTAAATTGTTGAAGAGAAGCAAAACATTGGGCTACCCATAAGATTGCCCACAAGCCTCTCCAGTCCAGTTTTCATCAGCCCTTTTCCTATTGTTGGCATCCACCATCACCCCACTGAGTGTCCTCACCCCCTCACCTGTCACAGCAGGGACAAAGCTGTCCTCTGTCCTGGACCCACGTTGATAGAGTGGCTGAATACACCTTAGCACCCCTGAGTTATCACTCTTGGATGTTCAGAGTCTTAAGTGTGGAATGAAAGTGGCTGCCCTCTGGGTAGTCCAGTGAAGGGGAAAGGATTAAGATGAATGGAGTGTCTCCTGCACTCAATGCTTTACATTCACGTACAGTGTATTCTTCATTTCTCAGACGCGTGACCTGAGACTCAGAGAAGGACAGAGAAAGGTGTGCGAGTAGCAGGTGGGAACAGGAGAACGACTTTATTAGTGTGAACCCCCAAAGCAATTACCTACACCAGCTTATGTAATCCTTTAAAGAAAAAGCATTTATTCCATTTTTAATATAACATTTATTTTTCTAGTTATAAAAGAATACATATTTATTGTAAAAATTTTTAAATGCAGAAAATATACAAAGTAAAAGGATATAATCATTTTCCCTTTAAGAATTAAACTGTAAAAAAAAATCTTTATTCTGTTGTTTCATTTAACAGTATGCCATGAATATTTATGTATGTCTTTAAATATTCCTCAAAGGCATGATTTTTATTGGAGGCATAATATTTCATTGTCTGGTTTTCCCACAATTTACATAGCAAGTGCCCTAATGTTAGATTATTTAGTTATTTACAGTTTCCTCTCTA